GAAATATTTCAACAAATTTCAGATGAATTACCATGATATTTGGTGATTTATCCATTGATTTATTTCTAATTGGCAAACTATACTAAATGTAACTAAAACAGTGAACAAGTACAGCCTCACAGAAAAGTCTTAATCTAGTAGTAATATCTTTGATTACCTTTGTTAAAATAGAATCAAGTGATCATAGGAAACAATACGTATTACATGTCTGTTGTTACTGCAGAGAAATACTTTAAAGGCCACTTTATGGAAATAAGGGTCGGTTGTGCTCGATCAGAACTAGTACACAGGCAGGAGAATAACGTAGCACATTTTCACACAGTGTCTCCTGGAACACATTTATAGTGTGTTGGACTTTGTTGTTCACAGAAAAAGTGACAGCTCTATATTTTTCTTCCTTTACTCAATTATTTCTGAGAGATCAATCTGAGGTTTCTTTCTCACCTCCACACTGCCGACCAATCACAGTGCCAAATGTACATAAAAATACCTGCACCACAGTATTTGTCGCAGCTTTCTTTGCACTATTGTCTTGCTGTCTCCAAATGTTTTAGTCCTGTTTGTTTCTGCTCGTTCTGTTTATGTACACTGAGAGTAATGCAAGACCCGAGTCAGATTCCTCATATATTTACACATACCTGACCAATAAAAGTGATTCTGAAATGGGTGTCAATGAATTGGACACAGGCCCCCGTAATCCAGTGTCGGGTTTCCGAAGTTATTAGACCACCTGACACGTAGTTCTGAAGAAGCATCCGGGTGCTTAAAATCGAGGTAGATTTTTCCTTTAAAGCAGGAGTTTGTTTTTTAACCACATGAAGACAGTCAAACATTTAAAAGAGCTTGTGATTTAAGTAACAGTACTGCTCGATTACAACCCCTTGGAGCAGATAAACTGTGATATCACTTGCTGATGGACACTTAGAACATTGTGGGCTATCAGGCGTCGGGGAAAAATCAATTACTGGCATTTAAATGTTAGCAGACAGCCAAGAATGAAGCTTGTATCCCCACACTCATATTGCACCATTTCTGAGTGACCAGCATGACAAAAAATGAGAAGGCATTTCAGCATTTGACGCGCCTCTACAACAGATTTGCGTTTCATTAATCACACAGGATCCAGGCCACTGCAAAGCGCTCCATCTGCACCGCAGCCAACATACAGAAAAAGCCTCACAGATTGGAGCAGCTAGCAGCAGACGACCACTCATTATATGGAGACACAGCAGGATTGTAAAATGCTAATGCTCGCCATCATCACACTCACTCCTATCCAAATGCTAAAAGGCCCTTGTAATTGGCAGCACTCTCCCCTCCCAAACACTCCCACTACCACACCTCCGAAGCGTATTCTTGGCTTTCAGCGCTGGATATTATGAGCAGAAAATACACCATATAGTTCTTCATTACAGCTACACTGACTGCAAAATCTGCTAGTTCTTCTTCTGAAACAAAAAGGCAACCAGGAACTGAGCAAATGATGGAAGAAAAAAAAGGACGGAGACAGTAGCCATGGGATAGTGAGAGGGAGCAAAGAGTGGGAGAACGTAGGAAGAACAGACGTGGGAAGGAAGAAAAAAAAACTGTAATTCAAGACCGCTCTGGTCACTAACGCTGTTTTCTCAGCACCTTTAACAACATGACAAATGAAAGAGGGCTGGACACCTCAATCTTCCAACAGTAACTGATGGGAACCCAAACATTGTTAGCACTAACCATTCTGTTATCACAGCTCTCACGCAGGCCATCAAGGCATCTGTGTGTGTGTCCGGCTTCCTGCAATAGGACTGTTTATCCTCTACTTGAAGGATGCTGATGTTCTATGTTGTCAATTTAATGAGAAACAAAGCCAAGATGATCCTGTGCATCCAAAGCCTGATGTATCTTCTTCCTCTGTGCTACAGAGCTCCACCATTTGTCGAAAAAATATTAAAGACACGTCAGTGAGCCTCACTGTTGGGTGACATTTTCCTTCATTACCATGGACACACACACACTGTAGCTTAGACTCCTGTAGACGTACATCTAGCTTGGTTGCAGACCTTAACCACTGCACACATCTGATTCTTTCAGGAAATATAATTGATGTTTTGCTTAGTGACAGTCGTATGCAGTTCAGACTGTTACGTTTAGAAAGAAAGTACAAAACTAAGCCCATACAAGCTCAGTACATAAGGTTAATAAGGTGTCATGAAATTGCCAGCAGATGCATCATCCTGTTCAAAGACCGTGCAGAGAATGAAAGCAAAGACCCTGGGGAAAAAAAACAACAAGTAATGACAAATCTAAATGAAATATGATTAAATAAAATAAAAAATAATAATAATTTCCTGTATAATACATTCCTATTTGGGCAGATCTGGGAGAGTTGAGAGTTCGGTGCAAAGGTGAGAGGGGAGGAGCAAAGTTGTTTATTCAGATGAAGTGAGTTGTTGGTATTTTGGTGAATGTGTTTCTCAGGAGTTGTGCTGCGAATAGAAATGTGCAGAAATAACAAAATAATGTCCATCCATCCATCGTCAACTGCTTATCCTGCGTACAGGGTTAAAAAAAATTATGTTTAGAATGTAAATAAACCATTATTAGACAAACACTCTAAAGTCAGTAGATGCATTTCACTCTGCATCAAAGATAACTTTTAATATTGTTAAAGCATGAATGTAAGCAAATCAATCTGCATTTATCTATTTGGTAAAAAGGTAATTCTTAGAGTATCTGTTGTCCACAGCTCCTTTATACTGTATGAAAAGCTTCATTAAATCCCTGCAGCCACCTGAAGGCAGCCAGACACACACATTGATAAATGTGAAACCTCTGAAGTGCCATGTGAGAGCGCAGCGCCATTAAGGTCGGCTGTTCTCTCTGTTTACCTTCATTAAACCACGTGTAAATGATGTCAGGCTGCTACAGAATAACCACACACACCTCTACACACACCCGACTAGTCTGCCTGTTTACGAGGGAGACGTCAGTTAATCGGGGTTCATTTATCCTGTGCATCTTGACATCATGAGATAAGAGCAAAGTGGCGTATAAGCAGCTTCACCAAATATTTTATCAGAATTTGCTTCTATCGCCTTTGTACTAAGTCATTGTGTTTGTTGCTGTGTGTTCACATCATTCAGCAATATGTTTGCTGCCATAAAGGAGCCTTTCTGTTCAGCCTCCCCAAGTATTATCCTGTTGCCGCCTTTATTCTCAGTCAGGAGCTCCAATGCTGAAGGCTACTCATTCGGTCGACAATAGCTGTTCACTATAGTCAGATGGTTTGGTGCTAGATTTGTTCTTACATGTACTTAACACCTTTAGAATACGTCACTTGCAAATGATAGGTAGGGCAAATAAAACAAAAACAGTAAAACAAAACGGCACCTTAGAGTGATTAGCAAGACAATACACATCCTACTGCTGTTAATACTCACTGCATCAACAAATGTGTGTTAATCCGCAGCTGCAAATACTCCAAAACAAGCGTGTGTTGTCCTCCTATTTGAGTTATGTTTGCTAAAAACTATAGTGCCCAGCTGTTTTCAGAAATGTTTGAACCAACTATGTATTTTTGAGGTGTTTTTTAAAGATTTACACCCTCAATAGCAACCAATGGGCTTGGACAGGCTGGCAAAGTTGGAAAGTATTCAGAGACGGACAAACACATTGCTGGTTTTGGTCTTTTCATGGGATTATCCTTGAAAAGACTTTGTCCTTGTAAGTTTTTCACTGTGAACACATTCAGCAATATGTGAGGAACTAAGATGCTGAAACTGATCCTGAATGTCCCAGAATTATTATGAAGAATTGAAGCTCTGTATATCTGCAGTTGACTTCTGGAGCGGCTGATTCCTCAGAGAGACGCTCTGACAAACAGCCCTGCAAACGTGATGGAGTAGATGTGTGTTTCTGTGTGTATGTGTGTGTTTTACTTCTGGGAGGTGGGAAGAATAGAGTCTTTTTCTACCCCCACTGTCCAGTCACTGAAACCCAGAAGCAGAGTCTAGACTGAGCCCCAGATGGGAGATTCATAAACTGCAACAAATGAAGACAAAATGCTTCCAGCTGTCCTTGGCGGCTGGGAATGGATCTGCTCTATATATTTAGGCTATAGGGGGACATTTGACATGGTCTTCAACTGGTCATGCAGCTCTGTCCTCTCTGAGCTGCAGTGACTTTTCCTGCAGTGCCATTTATCATCAGGGGCATTTCATTAGCATACAGCCACATCAGATCCTGTTATTAAACTGTATCTTCAGAGAAAACAAATGGATTATCAGATTTTGTTTGCTGCAACTAAAGCTTTATTTTCACTATTGATTAATCTACTGCTTCTTTTTTTGGATCTATGTCAGCAACTTGTGAAAAAGCCCATCACAAATGTTTCCATCTGTCAAATGAATAAAAATGGATGTATAATGTGTAACTTTACTATGGTAGAAGATGTTTAAATCAACTAATCGTTTCAGCTTTACATTTAATTTAGGTAAAATCTAGAAAAGTCTTTGAATGGATGGAAAAGTTTGTGATTGTTGATTGATCGATTTGCTGCTTTCATACAGCATGAAATCGCCTTAATTTGCAAGTAAGCATGATGGCCCATTGTTTAAAACAATTGTCCTTTTGTGTTCAGGTGCAGTTAAGTCATCTGAAATCTTCTCACGTACACACTCACCTTTAAGATAAAACACTCCACTGCCAACTTTTCCTGCCAAGGTCGAAACTTATCTCGGGCCGTGAGTGGCACGCACAGATGCGTCAATGACCGCGGTGTTTGCGAGGTGTATGACCTTTCTCTGGCGGTTCTGCATCCTACAGGTCCGGCCGGATGTTGTCAGTGATGCAGTGCACTCACTGTACGTGCGGCTCAAGTTATGCACTCACTGCATGCATCTGAAGCAGCAACACGGCACACTAAAACCGCAAAGAGCTGGAGCTGAAAACGCACAGCAGTCGTTCCCGCACTGACACGAAGGCGGCAGATACACAGAAAGAAAAGGTGTACTCACCAGAAAATCTGATGTTATCTCTGGTGCAGCAGTAGCGTTTGTCCTCCTCGTGCCAGAGATGATGAGATGCTGCAAATGAGACACTGCGGTCCACATTTATCCGCTTCCTCCCGCTCCGGGCGTGTGTGTGTATCGTGTCAAGGGTACGGATGGATGGGAGGAGGTCTGTTTCACGCCAGGTGGAAACAGACGTGATGCTGTGAAATGGAAAGCTCCTCGTCGGGTTTTTACCGTCCTCTTCAGCTCACAGACATCTCAACTCTTCTACTCTCTCTCTCTCTCTCTCTCTCTCTCTCCTCGTCTTCCCCAAACAGCCTCCTCTCCCTCCCCACCGGTTTGGGCATGCCCAGTCTCTGTCTCCTCACGAACACACTTTATCACTTACAGGTAAGGTCAGGTTGAACCAAGTTATGCCATTAACAGTGAAGGAGGAAGCATTCACATCATTTAAAGTATGTGTACAACAGGGAAATGTAGAATAAAAGCAAATGTCCCCTGTTATATTGTTATATTACATTATTATTCCTCACGCATTCAAGTAAAAGCAGGATTTTACTGCTGTGGTTGTAGAAGTAGAGCTCATTTTTAACTATTTTGTAAAGGGCTGCAACTGCAACTAATCATTTATTTTTATTATGGATTAATCAGTTATTTGGTTTGTAAAAATTGTGAAAATAGTGAGAAATTGCAGTCACAGTTACCCAGAGCCCAAAGTGACACCTGCATTGAAATTATTTAATGGAAAAGCAGCAAATCTTCACATTTGAGAAGCTGGAACCATCAAATGTTTTTGCATGAATAACGACCTATAGCCCAGTTCAGTGGTCCTCCATGTGGGGTCCCCAGCAAAAAGAGGAATCATTTATTTTCACTATAATTCCATCCACAAGTTACACAGTGACTATTTTGCTCATAGGTTTCATACACTCAGGACAAGCGAGCAAGAAAAAACACCTTTACAGTACATACTCTCTTAGGTGTCATTTAGACTGGGGACGCTGGGGACATGTCCCCACCACTTTTTGAAATGACTGATTTTGTCCCAATCACTTTTTTAAAGCATAATTTGTTAAAAAATGTTCTGAAATATAGCTTGCAGTTGAATAACAAATGAAAATGCCTTTACAAAGGTTTATTCACACATTAAGAAAACATGTAATGCAATTAAAATATAGAAGAAACAAATGTTTATTTTTCCCCCCAAAAAACAAGCTACTGATTATAAAATGACCCAAAAACGTGCATGCGCCAATCAGTAACTTTAACAACTTCTTGACACAGTTTGTTTTTGGCCAAGTTTTCCGTTCTCTCCCTGTGAACATGATAAAAGAGGAGGGAAGACTAAATCATGCCTACTCATGATATTACATGAGAAAAGTTGATCTACAGGAGAAACTGACTTATTCACTGTTATATTTATATATTTTGAAATGTCACGTGCCCCCTGACTTTTGTGTTTCCTTTTATATAAATAAAAACATTTCCACCATAAATTTGTTCAGAAACGTTAACAACAAATGAAGGAATGCAGGAAATGAAGAGATTAAAGATCAAGATTTTCTGGGGGAGGTCCCCGCACAAACTACCATATGGTACAAATTCTTTATTATTCTTTTATATTTTTTAATAGCGTGTCATTTTCACACTTTATATTTATATATTATGTTTACAGTTATGCACCAAACAAAGTTCCTTGTAGTGTGTAAAACTAATTGGCCGATTAAAGACGATTCTGATTCTAAAAGCAATATTTCTCTCAGATGGGCAGCCGTGGGACAAACTCTTAAAAAACGGGGGTCCGTGATCTAATTTGTGTCAGTTTAGGGGTCCGTGACTTGGAAACGTTTGAAAATCACTGGCCTGGTTGACAATTATTTTTTTGTCAGTGAATTAATCGACTAATTGTACTTTGTACTTTTACATTTTCATGTGTTTTAGTAACTAAAGCTGTATAAGTAGTAAAAAGTACAATATTTCCCTCTGAAATGGAGCAGAAGTATAAAATGGCACTAGAAGAAAATACTCAAGTAAAGAAAAAACCTCAAATTTCTACTTAAGTACAGTACTTGAGTAAAAGTAATTTTTCTACACACTGGTTAAGACTGTGGTTAGCTTAGCTTAGCATAAAGACTGGAAACAGGGGGAAACAGCTAGCCTGGCACACATCTTCCTGCAACACCAATACTTGTTGTGTGTACATCACACACACACACACCCCATCCTCCTCTCTCTCCCCTTGTTTACTGTCTATTTAGTTTGAAGGACTTGTTGGGAAACTTAGCTCTTGAGAAAGAAAAGAGGGAGACAAAGTCTTGCTGAAAGAGACAGGAGGTTTTCACTTTGAAATGGACGACCCTGAAGAAAGACTTAAAAGAAAATATATCCTAGAGCAAAAGATCTGAGTTATTCTGAAGTGTAACTGCAAAAACAGAACATTTACTGTAATACAAATACACGCCTACATCCTGTCACATCGCGTTTTTTTTTGGGACTAGATTGTGTTAGATACTTTTATACATTTTTTAAAGTACAAGGCCCTGCATGTGCAACAGAGATTTAGTTTGAAATAAATCTGTTCAGTTGTTTCCTGGCAATAATGACAATGATTTCCACGGGGAAATAAACACGTTCCTTGTGTGCTTAAAGAAACGCTGAGACGCCTTGAGATGTCCAAGAGTTTCCTCACATTGTCCTCTGGAGTGTGATAGCCTGGCTGTTGTTTATGTGGGATAATGAACTCATCTTCAAGTCACCGTGATCTGAATGTTAATAAAGACAAGAAGCACTCTGAGGGGAGGTGCCGCCGCATGAAGCCAAAATGCAGTGACTACACATTTGGTCAAAATGAAGTTGTCAAGATGGAATCTGACTGGAATGGAGACCAGGGGCTTCATTACCTGAAGTGGTCCATTGGGATCTATGTGGGGATAACTGAGACAAAACAGCAGCTTGTACATGTATTGATTTTGGTTCTTTGCTAAGTCAATTAAACATTTGGTAAATTTCTTTACGTAGCTATAGTTACAGAGAGGGTTGAGGAAGCACGGGCCATCCGGCCTGTGTAAAAAGTATGGGCACAGAATTTTGGTTTGCAAAGTTAAAAAGCCCAATTACATGCACAAAAAAGATATATGACACAATAAAGGAAGGGGAAAAAGCCAAAAAAGTATAGTATGACCTCTTTAAGGAAACTTTCTAAAACATCATTTACACATTGTGGCAGGTAGCAACATGTTTTGTGCAGCACTTCAACGAGTGAGCAAGGGTCAAAATGAACACACAACATTCTTGGGCTTTTAATGTAGTATTGAAACTGAAATAAACGAGGCGTTCTGTGCGTTGCTTCTCCGCAGTGTCGGGTTCATGGCTGCTTTAATTTCTGCCAACCACTTCGATGCTTCAAAACTGCTTTTTTTCTTTTTTCGGCACAATCAGGAAGAAGCCTCAAAAGCTTTACGAGGATTTGTCTGTCCATCGCTGTGCTTTCTACTTTCTTTAAAGTTTAAAGAGTGGGGCAGGGCCAAGCATTTGATTAAAATCTCCAGGAACAAACCATGAAGATGAGGAGGGGGAGTAGAGGCACAAACAATGCTGATCTATGGGATTATTTTGAGTGAATTTGTTACTGGTTAGGAATTTGTATTTATGTAAATATTCCTTCTTTGTGTTCTATTGGTTGGTTTTATGTGAATATTTATCATGTCATATGGTCTTGGTCCCTATTAAGTGGTCTTGTACGCCCAATTACCTGCAGCATGGAGGGTATATATAAGACAGCTAGTTGCTTTGAGTGTCTGTCTGTGTTGGTGTCTCATGGTGTTGGAATGAAAGACAATAAACACAATGATTGTGCATTTATCTCCATCCATGTCTCTCTGTGGGGAAACTTAAAGCCACTGCCGGACCCTTGGATACTGTTGCTACATTCCCCTCCGGTAAAGCAGGTGGCAGTATGTGCGAATAAAGACTATATCCTACAGTTCTTCATTCTGCAGGAATGATTATGATTATTAACAAGTCAGTACTTTGCATTAATATCTAAGAGACCATCTAAGAATGTTGCACAAGGATTTAATGAATGAAAACAACCCACAAAAATAAAACTGCTGCACCTGAAATTAATATTAGGCCCATGCTAGTGGTAAACTATATATGAAATTATAATGAATTTGGTATCTATAAATAATATATTAACATTATACTTTTATTTAAGTATTTTCAAATCTCAGTGTTGACAGGTATGATCTAATTTGATGCTCCAACGTCTTAGAAAATTCTGCATAATAAGTAAATTTGGTACTTTAAGTCTTTTTGTACTAATACAGTACTTTAGTTTTACTTGAGTACGATTTTGAATGCATGAGTTTAGGAGTTTTTTTACACTGTGTTATTGTACTTTATGTAAAATACCTATAGTTAATAATCAGGAGAGCTTTTCTCCAGTAATGTGTTTTCCTGTAGACCATACTGACTGTAGCTGATGTGCACGCTTGTCCAAACTGTCAACCTCATTTCCTGCCAGAGGCATTAGTGCCAATTTACTGTACACTGGTTTGAAATGCCTTTAGATCACAGCAGTGGTGTTCGTCATAATTCCTGCTATAATCCCCTTGGATCTTGTTCTGCTCCACATGGTGTCCTACTGCTGCACTGACAGGCAGTGGTAAGATGTAACTAAGTACATTTACTCAAATACTGTACTTAAGTACAAATTCAAGGTACTTTACGCAGCTTTATACTTTTTACTCCACTACATTTATCTGACAGCTTTACACACAAAACATATAAAGAGCTTATGAAATACATTTTTATTATACATTAAACTACGCAGCCGTTTATACAGCTGAAACGATTTGATTAATTAATTTGCCTATTGCCAGAAAATGTATTAAGAAACTATTTTAATTATTGTTAAAGTAATTTTTCATGTAAAAACATTCAATGGTTCCAGCATCTCAAATTTTGCTGCAGATTAATCGATAATGGAGATACTCAAATACTTCAAAATGAGCTCCAGCTAAACAACTACAGCAGTGAAAATCTGCTTTTACAATAAAGCATGAAGAATAATTATATAATCAGAGAAAACACAATAGTACGCAGGGGACATTTTAATGCACAAAGTATACTTTTACTTTGAATACTAATTTTCCTGATTATACTCACATACTTTTACTCAAGTAACATTTTCAATGCAGGACTTTTACTTATTTTTACAGTGTGGTTGAAGTAGTTTTACTTAAGTTAAAGGCCCTGAATACTTCTACCAACTCTGCTGACAATAAAAATTGATAATTTAGAGATATCTATGATGCAGACAGAGGCAGTTCAGTCGCATTATGTACCGGGCATTTCCCAACATTCAGATTTGAAGCATTAATGTGTCTGTCTTCAATATGTAATGAGTCTTCAGTTCAGTATATTTAAAGAGTGACAGACGACAGAGACCAGGCCTGAAGAAACACTTTGAGGTGAGGACTGTTTGGAGTTCTTTGCTGATACAACTCCCTCATGTTGTTTTACACTTGGCTGAGTCAACACCTTTACATCTGCAGAGTACTAAAACTCTCAGCCAAGCTCTTTAACTCGTTACTCTTAATATTATTTGTTTATACTTTATTTGTTTGTTCTTACTCTGTTTATGACACCTATGCATGGGCTGAACTGGGTTTGCAAATATGTTGTTTGTGTTTTTTTCTGAGTTGGATTCTGGGAAGGTTTACTTTTATTTCAGTATATAAAACAAAGCTTACTCCCTGCTCTGATGCTGTTCTTGAGCTTTCTCTCTTTTTCCCACTGAAGGGTTTATTTTTTATTTCACGTTCCTTTGATGACTTTAATCTGTATTTTTATAATAATGTATGTATAACATGTTGGTAAGGACAATGGAAAACAGCATGACAATGTGAAAGGAGTTGATTGTATTGATGAACCTGCAGAGAATGATCAGCTGGATCTGCAGCTCCCCTCAGCTTCACAGAGCTTTACTCCTGACCTTCAGCTCATTCTTCATCTGTCCGGCCCACAGCTTTACAGTTGTTGTCTGTGAAAAAGCTACTGAACCCCACTGTACCTGTTCTCATATCTGTCAGCTCCTCCACTGATAAAACGCATCAATACCCTCCAAAAAGTTGTATCTCCCTTTCTAAAAGTTTCCCTGTGCTGCTGCATTGAAGGTGGAGCAGCAACATCCGGCTCTTGGCCGCCATCTGCAGGCAGAGCGGGAGGTTGTGTACTTCTTGGTGGAAGTGGATCAATGGGGCAGCAGGGCAGTGAGTTTGAGAGCAGCATCTGAGTCCAGGCGGCTGCTGAAAGCAGGTCTGTGTTTGAGCTCTTTTCACTTTTCTGTCTCCTCATACAGACTCACAATAACTCCTCTATTTACCCACCGGCGTCTCCACTTCCACGCTGGAGTGCAATTAAGTTCAAGTGTGTTAATCAATCTGAAGCCTTCTGCATTTAGTTACAAGTAAATTGATCTTTTTCACAGCAGCTGTAGAATCTCCTTCATGCTTTATCCAGCAGATGTCCCTGCATGGTCAATCTTTGGTTCTTACCCTTCTAACTCAATCAGCAGAGGTGACAATTTTTAGGCACCTCTGCTTTAGGGAGAGTATTTCCATTTTATGCTACTTTATACTTTTGCTTCACTACATTTCAGGGATAAATATTGCACTTTTTATAATTATAATAACTTCAATAATCAATAATAACTTCATGAGTTTATATAGTGAGGCTCTTTTATTACTTTTCAACTTTAAGATTTTGCTTAAAAAACATATGATCAGTTTATTCAATATGACCCATTGTTACAGATTAAACTACCAAAAGTATTTATTTTATTTTAATTGTATTATACATTTATTTAGTTACTTATTATTCTCCTTTCATTTAGTTGTGTAAACCATGATTTATTATGGTGGGTTTTTTATATGTATGTACAAATGATTAATTGATTCATCATAAGAAGTAATTAAATTAGGCCCACCTTGACCAGCAATAGACTTTTATTACTGCTTACATTTGAATATACATTTGCTTGCATCAAAATAATTTAACAATAATATAACAGTGACAGCAGCCACTACTTTTTCTTTGTCTATTTTGTTGGTAATACTTCTCTACTTTAACTGTAATCAAGTATTTCTATACTGTGATGATGCTATTTCAGTGTGATGAGGCTTCAGTTCAAATACCAAAAGTAAAAGTACTCATTACGACACTGGTGAGCAGACCGGACTCCCAGACTGGTCCCAGACAGAATCACTGGTCCTCTATGGGAAGTGATCGGGGTCAATACCCTTCGTGTTAACATCCCACCAGATGATCAGGCGTCACAGTCAAGCCCCGCCCCCTCAGACGAAGAGCAACCGGAAAGACACTCTTTCACCTTCATAATAAAAGATAAGACTGCAACAAACAATCATAACCTGTTATTGATCGATTTATTGAGTAATTTATAAGCCTTTAAACTTTATAATTCAGTTCAAGTGCAAATGTGTGCCTCCTGCCATCAGACTGTACCATCAAGTACAAATAATGTTTATCATATAGTTTTAGATATTATACTATATTTATTATATTTTATTATAAGGTATGATGTTCCTTTATTGAAAAGCAGTTAAAAGAGTAAAAGAAAGAATAAAACACAATAAATGTAGAATCAAAAATCTGAATTAGATATATCAAATATACACACTACATACCATCGAAATAGAAAATGGTATCCTCATGTATAAATCTGTACATGTGCATGTGTTTCAGAGGTAATTGTGCTTGTGCAGGCTATTATATATTATGCTATGTTTGTTATATTTTATTATAAGATGTTTCTTTATTGATCCCCTATAGGGGAATTCAAAGTGTCACAGCAGTCAAGGGGACTGCAAAAAGTAAAATAAGAAATAAAATACAATATAAGTAGAATCAAAAATCTGAATCAAATACATTTCCATTTCCTCATTTGGCAGACGTTTTTATCCAAAGTGTAAGACGCTTTTTTTTTTTTGGAACAACATACAAGCATCAATAAAGCATCAATACAGAAAGAGATCTACAACTGACAATAGATGCTAGTAAGAGCAGCAATAGTAAAAGCTATTTGCACATAGGGCATCAATGGGTAAATACCTAAAGAAATAAGAGTTAACGAATAGTACGATCAATACAAGATAATTTTAAGAGATAGAAGAAGAAGAGCACTTGAAATGATTGTTTGAGGTTAGGGGTTAGAGACGTTATAAAAGATAAAAAGTGTTTATATATGCATATGTAAAGGCCTATAATACACAGGACAGACACTATGTATCAGTACTTATGTGATATTTAAGGCATTTTTACCTTCTGTTGTCAGCATATGTTTTTTTTCATAGGTTTATTAAAGGTGGCATGCAATTATTAACATTTACATTTACTCATTTGGCAGACGCTTTTATCCAAAGCGACTTACATTTGAGGAACAATACAGCACGAGATCTACAACTGACAATACATATTAATAAAAGCAGCAATAAATACTAGTAAGAGCTAATGGCACATATCACATCAACGGGGTAAATACCTAGGGAAGGAAGTAAGAGTTAACAAAAAGTGCAATCAATACAAGAGAATTTTAAGGGAATAGAAGAAGAAGAGCACAGGACGTGCATGTTAGAGATAAGAGGTGTTATAAGAGGAAGTGTTCTTGGAAGAGATGAGTTTTCAGGAGCTTCTTGAAGTTAGAGAGGGACGCCCCTGCTCTGATGGCGTGTGGTACCTCGTTCCACCATCGTGGTGTCACAGATGAGAATAGCCGGGACTGAGATTGCTTTGTGTGAAGGGATGGCAGAGCCAGGCGGCGTTCGTTGGAGGAGCGCAGTGGCCGAGAGGGAACGTAAGTTTGTATTATTGGGCTTAGGTAGATGAGTGCAGACCCAGTAGTCACTCTGTGTGCATTATTAGTGACTTGAATCTGATTCTGGAGGCCCCGGGGAGCCAGTGGAGGTCACTGAGTAATGGAGTGACATGAGTCCTTTTGGGCTGATCAAAAACCAGACGTGCTGCTGCGTTCTGAACCATTTGTAAGGGTTTCACCGCACAAGCTGGAAGACCTGCTACGAGGGCATTGCAATAGTCGAGGCGAGAGATAACCATGGCCTGTACCAGAAGCTGGGTGGCGTACTGAGTGAGGTAGGGCTGGATTTTCCTTATGTTGTATAGTGCAAAGCGGCACGACAGCTGGTCATCAATCATGACACCCAAGTTTCTCACCACCCTGGTTGGAGTGATGGTTGAGGAGTCAGTTTGTAGTTTGATGTTATGGTGGATAGATTGCTTGGCTGGAATGACCAATAGTTCAGTCTTAGAGAGGTTTAGTTGAAGGTGGCGAGCCTTCATCCATGCAGATATGTCCGAGAGACAGTCTGTGATCCGCACCGAGACGGTGGGGTCGTCTGGCGGGAAGGGTAGAGTCGGGTATCATCTGCATAGCAGTGGTAAGAGAAGCCGTGCAGAGCGAATGATCAGCCCCAGTTATTTGAGCTCGCTCAGCCGGCCTTCAGATTCTAGTAGAATGCTCAGTAAAGTGCAAAGTGATAGCACATCAAGAGTAAGAAAACTGAGTAAAGTAAATAGAGTAAATTATTACCTCACTGCTGCAAACTCTTACTTGCTTTCTCAACATAGTTTCACAAGCCAAAAGTCATTTTGACCCTTATCTGAGTCCTATAAATCCATCCATCCATCGTCAACCTCTTATCCTGCGTACAGGGTGGTGGGGAGTCCTATAAATACCAAAGATTTTAAAAAATGCGTAATGCGTTGCGCCATCGCTCCGACGCGTTTTATTTTGAAAGTCTAAACCGGAATTGCAGTGTTTTAATTTAACACCGCTTGACGGCCTTACAGCAAGTGAGAGTTGGGAAGTGCAGCTAGTGGCACCGCATCCTCCCCTCGCCCCGGACTCTAACCGGTGATAATCCGGCTAAGATCATCTGGATAAACGAGCTGCATCCCTCCAAATCCTCCAGAAACAAACAGAGACCGCTGTTTTTTCTTTTTAACGCTGATAGATAAAGAAAGATGAACGAGACTGAGCTCGTTTCCTACGATTTCGAGCGGCGTTTCGACGAGAGACAAGCTCTGGAATGGATGCAGGAGAACTGGTATGTACATGAGAACAGTAAGCTAGTAGAGAAGGAATATAATAATATAAATAAAATGTCGGTGCTCCTCCTCATCCCCGACAGACTGTTGTGGCTTCTTTCTGCAGGGCTGCTCGCCATGCGGACCCGGTGTCTTACATTTTTATTTAAACTCGCCCTCTAAAATCTCCCTCCATTAATGTGTGTGTTTCTTATGCACTGTAATAATGTGTCGCATCACAGGCTAACCCCCCCCCCCCCCCCCCCCCCCCCCCCCCTCAGAGTGAGCTAAAGTTTGCATAAGAGTTCCATTTTACCCGCTTTAATTCAAACGTCCTTGAGGATTCACAGCGCGTCTCCTTCCGTGCTCCCATAGGCCGAATGAAAACTTGATGAACAGGTAACTAAAGGACGTGTAATCTGCATGCATGCAAAATAACAAATTGCTATGGCTACTGAGTGTGCACCAAAAATATGTTGTCAAAAAATGTCACTGCTCTGCGCAGACTCCTTCCACACTGACCAATTAAAAGTCTTGTGCAGAGGAAGTGACCCCCCCCCCACTGAACCACTCTACATAGGGGGGAAAACCTAGTCAGACCACATATTCTCAAAAGCTGAACCTTTACCTGATACAGATGCAAGGAAGCTGTCAAAAGGAAGCTTCATACAGCTCAGGGGAAAGTGCAGACACATCCCATTCCTCCTCCACATTGTGCACACATGCATGAAAGGTGCCTTTAGGAGTAATAAGTGAGTAACAGCAGGGAAGCTTGGCTGTTTGTAGGTTTGGACATTCATCAGCATTTCTTCTGCAGAGCCGTCAGTGCTGCAAAGGCACACAGTTATGCACCCAGACAGCAGGATCAGTTACATTTATAGCTCTCTCTCTGTAGGATGTAGATGTGCAGTTCTGCCATGAGTGATTCGCTGCCCCTTCCCTTTATTCTAAACTGCTTCCGCGTTGTTTCAAACATTCAGTCTCACTACAGGGAAGAGAATCATTTCAAATGTTTTTGTGCTCACAACTTAGTGCTAATACCATATCGTACTTCTTCAAAACCAGGGCTGCAGAAATAAATTTTTATTCACTGATAAATTGTCCGCTATTAGCTCAGAATCAGATTTATTTTTATTTTTAGCTCATTGCAGAGATATCGTATCACTGTATGAGGTACAGAAATGCCAACGATGTTTTGAAACTGTGTCACCATTTATTTGTGTTTGTCACAATTGTCAAATTTAAGGAACCTTATCAAGAATGTATGTTAGCTATGCATGTTTATCCTTTAGAGGGTCGCAGCTGGCTGCATCAAAGAAAGCAAGGTTCCCACAAATGCAGTTCCAGTCCTTGGATTGCAGTCCTGAAACTGCAGCCTGCTGCTGTACAACTCAATCCCAGCAGACAACCATTCACACCTATGGGCAATGCATTGTTTTTATTTCACTTTTTGGATTTTTGGAAGGAAGGAAGCACCTGGAGGAAAAGCACACTGGGAGAACATTCAAACTCCACACTGGACCACATTGTACAATACTGGCCAGCGGGTCGTTGTGGGATTTTTAAACTCTCACATAGGGCTGACCCCGAATAGTCCAAGATTCGATGCTTCGATGGGCGGAGCCTAATTTGACTGTCAATCTCACAGTCGAAGCTTCGCAGCGAAGCAAGGATCGTGCCATTTTGGCGATATGGGGGTGCTCAACGTCTGATTTTACATAGAACTACCAGTTTTCTCCCAATAAGTAAATATACAGCCTGTTACAATGTACATTTCAAGTTAAATGCTATAAATAAACATGTAAAAATAAAAAAAAACTTTCAATAATTGTTTTTAAAGTGTGTGAATAAATCCTAAATTGTAACCCTGGGTCGTCAGTGCGCATGTGAAGGCGTAGCGTGTATGTGTGGAGAGGAGGAACACTCGCTGAAGAGACGGAGCTCCAGCTTCACTGGTGTTGTGCTGAGTTGTCTGCACCTCGCGGGACTTTGGGATAATTAATTACCGTTGATGAACCACACAAAGAATATTTTAGCGTTTTTAAACAGCATGCAGCTGTCGGCAGCAGTAATGCACCTAAAACTCTGCACAAGACCGGTGAATGACAGGCGAGGGAGAGAGCGCCTCAGTTTAGCTGGATATTTACAGTGGAAGTTGAATGAATAGAGACTGCAGCTCTGCAGCTTCTCGAGATTAAAGCAGAGCTACCGTGTGTAACACCCCTCCCCCCGCGCTCAAATCGCCAAGCACAAAAAAGCGCACATGATTCGGTTCCATTCAGAAGATAATGTACAGGGGGAGCTCAAGTCCCCACTTTGGCGGTGTTTATAACGTGTAATTCACTCGCTATCTATGTCTTTTCTGCTCTGCCATTTTTAATCAACTGAAGGAAATGTTTTCATTGACTAGTAATCGATCATTGTAGGTCAGAGGTCAGTTGGCAGCGCCTCTAGTGTTCAAGAAGTGCAGTGACAGGGCTTGATAGTAATTGTTCAAGAGGACAATGACATCTATTTTTTAAACTAGGATCTAGATTCAAGCCATATTCTGGTTTAGCCGTTTGGCCACCTCTGAATTAGTGTACATGAATATAGACAATATAGACATTAACAAATCCAAAGACAGCAACAGATGACATTGATTTACAAAACATAAAGGAACACAGATAATTAACAAGGGACAGCATGTGGGGAAAAACAAAATAATAACAAGAGATTGGTAATATATAGAGGAAAGGGGGGAGAAACTAAATAACAATAAATAAACAGAGAGGATGATCTGTTCTGGTCTGGATGGATTTCATGTGAGTTTTGCAGGATCTGTTTGGTTTATTGTTATTAAGTGTTTCTGCTCAAACACACCCACATTTTCTTTCTTCCCCTGCCTTCATGCTTACATTTATATTTATACGTGTTACACATTTAGCTCACCAGCAGCAGAATAGATCTGAGAATTGTTAAACTGTTATTTTATTCATTTTATAGGTGCTTTCTTTTCTTTTTTTTTGTAGAGCTTTGTTGTTCCATTGAAATCTGTCGTGTTAGAAGATCCAACCATTGTGATATAAATCCCCTGTACTTTTCCATTTTAGTGCTGTTGTGTTGTGTTTTAGTTGGGGCCACAAGTAGGACTATTATGATTCGTGTTAAACATGTGTTGAGTATATCCTGATCACCAAGTGTGCATTAGGCGATAAAGGAATGCTACATTCAAGGAGTCGGGACAGTGTGGTGGTTACGTCTTCCCAGGAATGTGCGTGGAAGTAGTCGTCAGTTGTCTTCAGCGTAAAATGAGTGGATCTATCTGATCTGGCAAATCCCACTGTGTGCACCTTGTGCTGTGTGAGGTCTGTTTTATGAATGATCTTGTATTAGACTCTCGTTTGTAATTTCCTAGGCATGCTGAAGGTGTCATTTTATTCCAGAAGTGGTTATAGTGTGGATGTTGAGGTATTTGTTTACTGGACTATGAGGTGCGTTGGTAGAGTTGGAAGATATGAGAGGCATCTGTTTTTGCCTTGATGTCATGTTTTAATTGGATCATTCAATGCGATGTATGTCAGTCAGCTGTTGAAATTTAAACAAGGTGTGATGGATGTGTGCAATCCCCCTTTTCTTTCCATGTAGTGCCTTTTAGAGCAGATGTATTTGCATTGAGGTCTGGATTGTGTGAGGCTGGGCAAAATAAACTATGATAATAATGAATATATCGTGATATAATGTTCCTCAATAAAAGTAGAACAAATGTTCAATAAATGTTTGATTTAATTCATTTGAATCCCACCTACCTTTTCTATTAAGATATTTATTTTGTTGAGAAAAAGGGACTGAAAAACGGATTGTACTTAATGTTACGCATGAATATTTGTTGAACAAAGATTTTATCACAATTATTTTGAATGTTTAACCTCAGATTTAGAAGTGATCCACTGTTTGGTATCACGTGTTTGTCGTGTTTTGACCATAAAGAAAAGTTTAACCACAATTAACCCTCTGGTTTCTTCAACTTTGACTCAGGAGCAAAAATCAGCCTTTAAACTTGAAAGAAATAACGATTTGACATTTATCGTGATAATTATTGATATCGAATGATAGGATTTTTTTGTCTTGATAACATTTTTAGCCATATCGCCCAGCCCTAGGATTGTGCCATGTGGGGTGTTGTGCGACATTGTAATGTTTTTTATTGTATTGACTAGTGATTGCAAAGTTTTTGAAGCAGCTGTGGTAAGGAAAGATTAGGTAATGGGTTACGTAGATCCATTTGATACGGTGTTATAATTGCTTCTCTAGGTACTAGTGTTGGAATTTATTTGTTTTTAGGCCTCCTTGATGTTTTTATTGATGTAATGTGGTTAGTTTTATTTTGGGTTTTTTGTTTTTCTAAATAAAAATTGTAAATTGAAACCCTAGTATACTACTTTTTAAATATTTAAAATATTATCAGTTCCCACTTGGGCATCCTTAAGAGCTTTAGCTTCATGCATCCAACATGGATGGACTGGGAACGGCTGTCAGAAGCCCTTTTAGCATTAACTGGGTCAAACGGCAGCAGTATCTACTCAGTCTAATATGTATTGTGCCAATCTGGATTAGTCATCTGGTCTATTCCCAAACCACTTCAGACAGCCTCACAGAAAATGCACTCTTTATACATATATATGTATATGTATTTTTCTCGGCCATTTAGTGCTCAGCTGTTTCTGCCTGAGCTCAGGAGTTGACCTTTTCTGTCCTGTCGTCATTTTCTGCTGTAATTGAAATAGTATCAGTGCCCGGTGAAATTTGCCTCATCACTCAGTCTAAATGGTCAGTGTATCAACATCTAATCCCTGTTAATCCTTTGCTGTGATTATAAATGAGGATAAGTAGAAGGCTAGCATCAGGAGTGAAGGATGGATTTAACAAAACTGACATATTATGAATTTATAGTTTGTAAAAACACGTACGTGTAATCTAATTTGCCCTCAAGAGGCAGACAGCCAGGTGATGTAATATTTGTTTTTAATTGCAGTTGTCTGGTCCATCCACCTTAAATTGTGTAATGTCGTTGTGTGACTGCACCACATGTGTATAATCATCTAGTGTCTATCTGAGGTGATTCAGGGTTAAGCTGTTATCTTTACCAGGAAGTTGACTTCTTCCTCTTTCTGCAACCTGATAAGAGGTCAAAGTACATGTAGAGCAGCACGACCGAGGAGATTATCACTGATTATTTCATTCAGTACTTATTCTGAAGTACAGCATGTTATCTTCTCTTCATCATTTGTACTTTATGCGAGTAATCATGTGTATCAGATAACTCGTAGAGACAGAAGTACTAGTTATATTTAGTTTTTGTTGAAACTGCTTTAGAGACCTGTTGAGTCAGCTGCGTGATATTTTAGCAGGATGTGATTTGTGGTGCTTTTGAACTGTAGATGTTTCTATTATTTTGTCAATTTAAATCAACGAGGTTAGGCTAATTAACAGAGACACCAGGTAATAAATGTCTGGTGAATAATGAATGTATTACTGTGTTTTGTCCTCAACAGGAGCAAATCGTTCATGTTCTGCGGCCTTTATGCGGCGCTCGTGTTCGGCGGGCAGTACTTCATGAGGGAACGGCCGAAGCTGAACCTGCGACGTCCGTTAGTGCTGTGGTCGCTCAGCCTGGCCATCTTCAGGTGAGCCAGACTGCTGCAGCGCCGACATGATTGGGTTCTCATTAGTCAGATTGACAGTATATGTCATGTTTGAGTAATCGATTCGGTTGTTTATCAAGAAAAAATCCAGTGATGCTAAGTAACAAAGTACTGAAGTGTACTTAAAGGTGGAGTAAGTGATTCTGGAGAAATGCAACACCATGACAAATACCATGATATAATTGTGAATTGTGGGTCAGTAAACTGTGGCTATAGTTGCTACTGTGAAGCTAACATGAAGTTAATACGCAGAGAGGACGAGACGGTCCAAGAGCAGCACAGGGACTCCAAACAGCGATACTCACAACTCTCCTGCTTCTGTAGCTAACATCACATTCTAGTGAAGTAGAAAGTGAGCTAAATGTCTGTGGGCAAGTCATTAAAGCCAGTTTACAGTAAAAACAAAAGCTGCATACAGTCATTAGTGTGTGTGTGTATATATATATTTTTCCCAGTAATCCATGATGGCAGCTCTGCTAGTCTACTCGCGATGTCAGTCCCTTTAACGGTTGTTTTCCCCTCAGATTGACTGCAAAAGATGAGCAATTCTAAGGCTTTCTGGGTGAAAAGGTAGATTAGACGATCAGGAGGCCACCAGTGCGGGATGAGTTCAGGCAGGGTATGTGCTCTGAGAATGTGTTTACGTTAAATTGTTGAAACCAGTTAGATGACACGACTGTAACCAGCACATTCCTCGCTGGATTCAAAGGGTTGAACTGTGTCCTCAAGGGAAAGGCAAAACATTTCACATAATGGAAAGGATCTTTGCACCTCACAAGCTAAGACCGCCATCCGATGAGTACTCTTAGTATGGGTTGCAGTAAAGCTGCTGTAGAGCATAGTGGTTACACATCTTGCTTTTAGCAGCTGCAACACTTGTTATCTTTGCAAATAATTCCTTCCTGGGTGTGTTGGCCTTTTATGTTTTGTTATTTCTTCTGTTTTATAGATTGCTGTGAAGCACAAATTTACTTAAGCCCTTTTGAATTTGATGGCCACATTGTGTTTCATAGATAAGAGGACCTAGATTATAGTAATAACCTAAAATCCAATTACCATATGACAACCACACTTTTAAATATAAAGCACCTGCTGCTATATGTAACTGAAAGTGTGTTTGAAAAACCAAACATGGTGGTGCCTATTTTACAATCACTTCCAGCAGAGTTTGCAGAGATTGTGACCCAATGAAACCAACCAAGGAACCAATGATCAGTGCCACAGACAGGAAGTCAGAAAGTATTAAGAGACGGACGAACACACTGTTTGTTTTATTAATGGGATTTGTTCACAATAAGATGAAATGTAGAATAATCACCAGCCTTATCCTGTAACACAACCTCATGATTCATTATTGATAGGCAAGTCGGGACAATGACGATGAAGGAGGGAGACTCCCAGTTGACCCTACACCCAGCTAAATAAGTGGAGTGAAAGTCAATTGGGAAATCATGTACCGGCCGAGTTTTTACTTGAAAAATCGGAGAAAAGTAGTAGGAGTTGCTGCACTATACTGTGATTGCACTAGAGGATTTTATTGATGTTGCAGGGATGAGTAATGTTGAGTCTTTATGGCTGCAGCAGAGCTGGAATTATAGACACGTGGAATGCTTTTATGGGGAAAAATGCCCTGGGTTGTAAAAATGGCGATTTGAAGGCTTTAACATTTGTGACTTAGGACGTGTCCTGACCCTTGAAACAGGATGTCAGCACTGACTGATTGATTACACTTTACACATCAGGGCTCCAGACTGGGATCGTCCCTTTTTTCCACTGGTGATGAAAGGACTGATGATGTTGTTTGCTTCACCTTAGCCTGTGTTATCTGTAAAATAGCAACAGTAAGGAAGAAGTTTTATTTTTTAAATTAATAATGCTTCCTCTCGCTTTTTGATTAAAATAAAGGCAGAAAGTCCAGATTCGATATGTTTAATTAAACTGTTTGCTAATGTGTTTACATGTCGTGTGTGCACTCTGCAGCATCATAGGAGCAGCGAGGACGGGACTGTACATGCTGCACGTCCTCACAAACAGCGGCTTCAGACAGTCGGTGTGCGACAACAGCTTCTACAGCGCCCCCGTCAGCAAATTCTGGGCCTACGCTTTTGTTCTTAGCAAGGCCCCTGAGCTGGGTAAGGCTTCCTGTAGTCTCTCCTGATAGTGTCCTAAATGTCCACGTGTCATCTTTAGAGCTGCACTACTCACAGATACAGCAGCCACTGAGATGTTACTCATTAGGTGATTTATAATGTAGGTCAGAAGGCGTGCAGGGCTAAATTTGTTGTAGTTTTTTAGATGTCTAATTTACATTTAACCTCTGTTTTAAATATTTTTAATTACTATGTTTTAAGAGGTCTTAATTACATGTTGAACTACATTTTACCTGATAAAATGTACAAATCCACAAATCACCAAATCAGTGCTTATGGGCAACAGATTTTTAGACTCCACGATACGAAGTTCCGCATGTTACGTGAATTCCTTATGCAAAATGATTGGCTGTAAATTGAAATCTAGTAAATATTAGTTTCCTGACGCAGAGGGAGCAACGGTTCTGTTGCGTTACAGACTTCTTACATCAGACCGACAGGATATTTACATGCAAAGACAGACATGAGCTTTAACCTTGACTCATCTCCTGAGGTTTGTACCTTGGAGCTCTCAAACTTTACTATAAATTTATCAGAAGGCGATTACCTAAAGAGCTGCTTCTCCGGGTGGTGCTGCTGTCTCGCTGTCTGCACTCTAATGTAGTCTCTTCACGCTCTCGGTTAGACACAGAAGAGACATGATTGCTCTGGGAAATGGAGGCTGATGCTGAGGTGGCAACAAAATTCCATTAGCGCATGATTGATACAGATAATGTTTCAGCAGCTGCAGACAGGAAGAATGTCTTCGCCCTCCTGTTAGTTAGATCGTTAGTTCACTTCACAGAACTTAAACAATACTTAAAATACTTTTAAAGAAAACCCACTTTTTTTAATAAAGAAGCCAAAGCTCTGAGCAGCCACAAGAACTTTGATTTAAATCTGGAACTATCTGATCCAATAATAAGAAAACAGGATGCCAGCTTCCAGTACATGAGTGTAAGTGTGATCCTTCAGCCCCGGTACTTTTTAATGATTTCCTCTTCCTGTCTCTCCCAGGTGACACGGTCTTCATCATCCTCCGGAAGCAGCGCCTCATCTTCCTGCACTGGTACCACCACATCACCGTGCTGCTGTACTCTTGGTACTCCTACAAGGACCAGGTGGCGGGCGGCGGCTGGTTCATGACCATGAACTTTGTGGTTCATTCTCTCATGTACACGTACTACGCAGCCCGGGCGGCCGGCCTGCGGGTGCCCCGTCCCTGCGCCATGATCATCACGGTCACCCAGATCCTGCAGATGGCGATGGGCCTGACTGTTCTGGGCCTGGTGTACCTCTGGATGCACGAGGTGCGCTGTCCGTCCTACGTGGACAACATCGCGTGGGGCTTTCTCATGTACCTCAGCTACTTGGTCCTTTTCGGCTTGTTCTTCTACAACACCTACCTCAGAGGCTCCTCCGGGGACAAAGGATCCAAGGCAGAGTAGCACGCCTGCACTGTGCGCCGCAGTCGTATTGAAGTGTGCCATACGTAGACATAAGCAACAGTGAGGGGCCATGAATGTGCGAGTCACAGCTAGTTAACTGGTTGCTCGGTCCTCCTCTTTTTATGACATTTTCACGTGACTTTTTAAAGGCATCTGTAGCTCAGAACAGTTATTCATCCGTGGATTTAGAGCGGTAGGAAAGCGGAGGCCGGTTCGAACTGAGCACAGTTTAAAATGATCTCATGATAATGTGATGAAAGACGGGGATGGAGCAACACCATGTTTGTGTTTGACTAACATAGTCTCACTTCATTTGAACAACTGCCTTGGTTACTTAGACTCTTGACAAATCTGAGGGCCAAATGTTTGTGTTAGTATGTTGTGATCAATTTTAAATTGTTAAAGGAATAGTTCAACATGTTGGGAAATTCTTCCAGAGCATGCGATGAGAAGATTGATATTAATCTCATGTCTGTGCTTTAAGCTGGATTCAGGACGTGTATTAGCTTAGCACAAAGGCTGTAAGGAGGGGGAAACACCTCAACAGTACAACACACAACTAAAGCTGGCTCACTTAAAAGATATATTTTATTTGACCTGTAAATAAAATTAATGTAAAAACGACCATTTGTGAATTTAGGGGGAGTTATGTGCAGTACAGTTTGCACTTCTTAGCAGTGTCTACAGCTATTGCACGGGTTGCCAGATGCAGCAGGAGCGCAGGTTTTGGTGTCTGAACAGAGAGAGTGGTACAAAACCACCTAAATCCACAAATCATCATTTTAACATTTCTTTTTATGTACAAATGAAACAAACAAGATACTAATGTTAATTAGGAGCTTTGGACAGAGCTAAGCCAGCTCCACCTGCTTCTGGTCTTTACGCTAAGCGTCGTGACTCCAGATGTGTATTACTTAACGCAAAGACATGAAATTGTCGTCAATATTTTCATCCCACTCTTCAGAAGAAAAAAAAATTGTATTAGCCAAAAGGTTTTCCTTTTGAAATGGGGTCTGTCTTAGCACAACTGTGATCTAGTAGTAGTAGTAGGAAATGTAGGATTACCAAAAGGGATTGAATACCTCACAATGCACTGAATGAATGAAAGGTTGTTTTCTCGTGTTTAGTTTCAGCACTGAGTACACACACGTTACACATAGCATTTTAAATATGTATCCCTGAAAACACGTCACCCTCAAACAGTACTGCTCATAAACCACTACGCATGTTCTGATTACGCCGTGTGTGGCGACAGTAAACTGAGACATGCTAATGTACGCTCATTAGATGTTATTTTAAAAAAGGAACACTAACAATCTATTTAACACGGCCTTTACTGTGTGTCTGTTCTCACCACACAAGCACTTTGTTAGACGATAAGACATTCTTCAGCTGACAGCCGTCCCACAGCAAATCACTTCCAGGAAGTGGGTTGTGTAATATGTTGAGCCAAAGTTCTCCTGCCCGTGTCCTTTTGTAAAAAAAAAAAAAAACTAAATCATGTTTACTCACTGTGCACCTTTTGCCTTCTTCATCTCACTTGAGAACTTAAACTGGACAAAGCCCAGTCTGCATCTAAACCAATGGCCAGACGTTAAAACTCTGTGTACACACGAAGATAGAAACACTGTAGGTGAAACTGGGAGCACATGCACAAGCCGTAGGTAGATATGGACACACCCTAAGACGTTAGGCCTGTAGTTTCACTAATGGGCAACTAAAAACAAACAAACCAAATTCACTTATTTGAGTTAACGAACAATCACTTTATTATCCAACGAAGGTTGAAGTCAAGGGCAACTGGACTTGGCTGAAGAAAAGACGTTTTGTCCCTCATCCAAGAGACTTTTTCAGTTCAGTTCAGAACTGAAAAAGTCTCTTGACTGAGAACCTTCACAGACATCACTTTATTATACTATGACATTAATTGATTCTGGTCCCAGTGTATGCCAATCCAACATTGCATCGGTCTCCACGCTCCCGAACTACACGGCACAGTCACTTAGGGGCAGATCTGAGTGTCAGCGGTCGTAACTGAAATCAGTTTAACCAGAAAGTGATTGGATTGTTTCCTTTGAAGGACTTTTAGAGACCCAAAGAGATCAAAGTATCATAGTACTTTACGAGAGAAATATCTAAAATGAGAGAAAAAATAAATCTTTCTTATCCTTTTAGTCTTCATATTTATTTTGGGAACATTGGGGTTCTTGACCCCCGATTTGGAAACCACTGGTTTTAAGTAGCAAAGTCAAAGTTTTCCTTATAATTCGTACCATTCCTCTTCTGCAAATACTCGTTAATGTGTGGAAATATTTTTTTTTATGCCTACACATTGTAATACATCTGGTCACTGGAATTTCTGTTTCTGTTGTTGCCCTTTTATTTTAATGTACCTGCTTGTCCTTTTTTCCTTGTGTGCCGTAATGCAGATTACTTGTCGATTCCCACCTGGTGGATCAGGTGATTTGGTATTTACTGCGCTATAAATAGATTTAAATTGGGCTATGGAAACCACTGAGATTCAGCGATGCTTCACATATTCTGAGGTGATGAGTCTGGCTTGATGTGGTTAAACAGAAAATAACTGCTGTGATCATTTGTGCCGCGCTCAGTGAACTGCTACGAAGGAAGGTACAAGATGATGTGTCCATGTAAATAATACGAATATATTTATTTTCTTAAGATACAACTTTCTCCAGCTGATTTGAAGTGTACCTGCTAGAATCAACAGTTAGCTTTGCTGTTCCTCTTTCCATCTAAATGTTTCCTTCCATCTGCTGACAAACTGACCATGGCACCATTTTTGCCTCTTAAATGTTATGAGGAGGATAAATGAAGGCAAAATGTAAACTCTGAAAGACATTAATACTTACTCTTGAAAGGAGATTTAGCTAATATGTAAAATATGATATATGTGTCCTTTTTTCTTCATGTCCTGTGTTTTATGCCCTTGTAGGTGAAACCTGTGCACATTATAGATAAAAACATGTGTGTAGTAGCAGCTTACAAATGTACATTGGGGGAAATTTTGGCTTGAACACATGAAGTTTGTGTTTAACCACTATTACTGTCTTTTTGTTGTGGAGGACCTGACGTTTACATTAGCCACTATTTCATCCAGCTGTGAGCGTGGCTTTAAAAAAAGACACAGTTTTGATAAATAGTGTTTTTAGTTTCCCGCTATGACATTAAATGTCACCTAAGACCCATTTGTGACTTCAGCCCTCTGTAAATTACTCTGCATAAAAGTCAAACATCTAAATTTGACTCATTATTCGGCAGCGCGTTGGATCTTCAAAGGTGTTTTCATGATGTCTTCTGTCTGCACAGAGAAAGTAAATGTTTAAATCCAACATTACCGCAGACTGCTGCAGGCTTTCTGGGCAGAAAGCAGAATCGATGTAATCCCAAAAAATACGTTTGAAGATGCAACATTCAGCTGGATAACAGGTTAAGAATAACATTTAGATTTATCCGTAAAACTTTGTGTTGCGAACGCTGTGTGACAGAATCAGGGAGTAATGTCTGGAGTCCTGAGACCACAAAGGTCCCCTCTGAATTATCTTCACCACCAACATGTTGCCCGTGTAGCCTGAAGTTCACTAGTGCTTCAGTACTTCTCACGACTACTGCAGTTTAACTGTGAAGCAGCTCAGAATACTGTTTTTAAAGAGGGGAAGAAATGTTTGTAATGTCAGTAATGACTCCTGGCCAGGATTTTAGAGCTGAAAGGTCTGACTTGTTGTAACACCTTTTTATACACCTGAAATTTATTGTGTGCCAAATTGATGCTTCTGTTATTTTTTGTCTTTCATGGATCCATGTGTGTGCGCGCTATTGTTGGTCTGTGCATTAAGTCTCCTCTTGTAAAAACATCAGAAAGCACGCTGATTTCACTGCGTGTGGATTCTACTGGCGACTCCAATCGAAGGAAAACAAACCGTTAAAGGGCTTTGGGTGTTGAAATGTTGTTATAATAAATCCATTCTGGTTTTAAAATGTCTCGGTTTATTGTTTCAGGGGGGGAAGGATTACTTTTCATGTCAGAAAAAATAGTTACGACCATTAATTTAGTGCTTTTTTAAGTTTTTAGAGCTCATCTAACCTCCAATTATCAATTTGCACGTTGCTGTAGCTGCTGCTCTGACTTTGGGCCACTTTATAAAGCTCATCTTTATCTTTATCACTTGAGGCTTTCTTCAAATCACATTAGTCACTAGGAGGCAAAACGAATCTGTACCTCATAAAAGGTGTTCAAAAGTCCATGAAAAATTTAATTATTTGTAACTGAAAACTCAAATAACCAGTTAAAATGATCATTTAATAGTAAAATGTTGATCAAAACTGTGTTTGAACATTAGGTTCAATTGATTTCCCGTCTGTAAAGACTTCAGAAATGTGTGGTGATGCTTGTTTTGTTTTCCCATAACTCCCATTAGGGCAATTTATCTTAAGGGAAACAGACATTTAAAGTCAACTCTGAATTACAATGTAGAATATTATAGCATCCGAGTGACCAAGTAGTCTAAAACTGAAACAGTTTTAAAAATAATAAACCCTCAAAACATTTTAACCTGTAAAAATAAAACACTTTTTCTTCAGAATAGTTGACATTTTCACTGAAAGCAGACGTGTTGACTAAAAACACAGATATAAGCAGGTAATCCCAGAGTGTCACCTGACTATAATCCTTCAAATGTCTGTAATCGTCTGGATACAGAAACAATTTCTTATGTAATTATTTACAATTAAAATAATTATACTTCAGTCTGTGTGGTTGGTAACTTTGGTACTAACATGCTAGACTACGATGGTGGTCATAGTCACTTAAAGAAGGTACTTAAAGTAAGTAAAGTATAAAAGTAGCGATACCACAAATTAAAAATACTCTGTAAAACTCTTAATTCATTCAGTGTGTAAGTATTATCAAGAAAACTACAAGTATAGAAATAAAAGTACTCACTAAGCAGCCAAAATCCCCACTAGGGGAAATTAATTTTCCCAAGTACTTCTACTATAACTATTGGTGCTGTAGCAAGTAAGATGCATTTAAATGTTGTAGCTGGCTGCAATATAGCAATTTTTATAAATGTTTTATACTGTTGGGTGTTTTTAATTTACGATATAACAATGCATTGGATTTTATATGGAAATGTTTTTTTTATCTTCAGCTGCAGAGAAACTGGTAACAACAGGTACCTAATAAATAAATGTAGTAGAGTATAAAGTGGCATACAATTAAAACACTCTTTTGTATTGTACTTACTTGACAAAATGTACTTATTAATTTTCCACCACTGGCATGAGCATGTTGACGTTAGCTTTTAGCTCACTGCACCACTGGGCTTCACAGAGCCGCTCGCTGTGAGAAAACAAACTTAAATTTAAATTTTGAAGCTCACCGGATGGATTTTCTTTAGTTAATACACCATTCAATCAATCATTCATTTAACTGAAGGCTTTTTTAGTCTCTTGCATTTTAAGTGCTTTTGATAAATGCTCGTTTTGTCTCCTTAGTCAGCATTTTGTCGTTGGTATAAAACTCCCTCTCCCCTAAAATGATCTTCTCTGCTGAGGATATATTGAGGACAACACAGAAACTCTGCAGAGGGATGATCCATCTCTCTGATATCCACTGTCCTCCACTTTCACGACCAGTTAAATCCCAGAGTGCTGTAACAAGTGCAGGAATTTGTATTGTGGACACAGTTAAAACGCTACAAGACTCCCGTGGTCTTAAAACAAGCAGCTCCCTCGCCTGCTCCTCATCACCGAGTACGTCCTGTAAACGTCCAGGCTGAGATATGAACCGCTGGGACGTTGTGGGTTGATAGAGGACAAAGCTCTGCCAGCTCTGCACATTAGCCTCGAAGCTGTGGGTGGATGACACCAGAGGACATTGAGGACACTGTGAGGAGCTGAGAGGGAGCTTTGAACTAACTGAGGTCTAAGGTCACGACTGCAGGGTTTCTTTTCACAAACCACCACATGATATGCAGCTCTGCTCCGTAAGATCTTATGTGTTTCACTGCAACAAAATCTCATGAAGTTTAGATCACAATAATCACTGCGGATGGATTAAGACTAAAAATAGCTGCAGTGGGAAATTTAAAACTTCAGTTAAGAGCCCTGGCTTTTTTTGCTTCGGTCACTGAACTCACCCTACCTTTATTTGGGACAGGCGTTTAATTCCTTTTGCACAAAACTCTCGCTCAGCAAAGACAGCTAATGGGCTGCTACCTAACTGTTTATTTCAACCAGTATGAATATTACTTGTATAAAAATGTGGCTTTTTTCGTCACAGCTATGGATAATCTAACCGATCTCACAATGTGCAGTCATATACACATATTGAAAAACATTTAAACAATTCTATTTGTATGTGCCGTCTTAGCAGCTTAGCTCAAGCAGGTAACCCGCTGGGGTTTAAGAGGTTTTATAGAAATACAGACCAGGCTTCTAATTGAGACCTTCGTTTATTTGTCAAAAGATGTAGCCACAACAATTTACCTGAGTATTTCCATTTTATGCTACTTCATACTTCTACTCCACTACATATTGTATTGTTTTAACTTTGCTACATTTATTTGATCATTCAGAGTGATTTGGCGCCCGTTATAAACAAGAACAGATGTACTTCATGTCCTCTGCATTTAACCCATCCCTCAAGGGAGCAGTGGGCAGCCGCTGTGCAGCCCCCAGGGGACAACTCCAGATGTCTGGTCAAGCACTGACTTAAGAAACCTAGCATGTTTTTGATGGTGGGAGAACACACAAACTGCACACAGAAAGGCCGGGGAGGCCAGGGTTTGAACCCATGAACTTCTTGCTGTGAGGCCTCAGTGCTATCCACTAGACCACCGTGCCACCCAAAGTACATTTGCATTTGTAGCATAGTGCAGTAGCTTGAGCAGGGAGCCCAGCGTGGCAACGACAGACGCCATTAAATCTAAAAACAGTCAGTGTGCCATCAAAAGAATTTTGAAGTTGTTATTTTAAGATAAAATACCTACATAACCTTGCTTTAATACAAAATATATATCATTTAATAAATTATGATATATTATTACGGATGAAGCTGCCCCACAGTAGGCCTATATAAAGTTGAAATTACCGTAAAACTTCAATAAATAGACCGGGCAACTAAGAGATTGAATTGTGGAGAATCTAAACGATCTTATGATGTGTAGCCACATTGACAACAGTTTAAACATTTATAGTTGTATCTAAGCAGCTTGGAATTAGCTCAAAGGGGCGACCTGAACTTCTATAAAAACCAGATGTCTTAAGAGGCGTCTCTGAGGCCCGTAACATTAACACTAATTGGGACTAGGCCTTTAATTTAAGTTTTACATTAGCTCCACCAGCTGCAACATTAGTGATGCTTACACATTTATGCATTACTAATTATAATCCAGCAATAAATGTGGTTCTTAAATGCGCCATTCTGCATAATGAGTACATTTACTTTGGTACTTTAAGTATGCTAATACTAGTAGTAGTAGAAGTAGAGTACTTAGAGTATTTCTACACTGTTTGCTTAAGTAAAATATCCAAATACTTCATCCACCACTGTCTATCTGTAAATGTATGTACAGGCATATATGGGGTCACCATACTCTATTTATGTAGTTGTAGAAAGACAAACTCAAGCTCATTTCATTTGTCTTCACTGCAGCATCCTGACCAGGTCAGACTAGAGTCAAGGTGTCATGATGTAGATCCTGCAGCGCCCTCATGTGGCAGGAGTTTGTTCTCTCTGGCACTAGTTTAATGGAACAGATGAGCTTCAGTGAATAAACCAGTGGCACAGATGCAATTTATTTCCAAGACATGATAATTGAAAGCAGCTGTGGGAACTTCTGTACGGTGATGCACGCGAAGAGCCGCGTGAGGATGCCTTCAAGTGCCGTCGAACAAACTGGATTCTGAACTGAACATTAATTAAAGAGCAATAATATCTCTAATAATAGGATTTTCCTCCTATGCTAATGAGTTTTTTGTTGTTGCAAAGTTGAAGTATTGCAGCCTCAGAAACTATAAAGGACCTATTACAAACGTTTCATGTGTGTCCCTCTCCCTGCTCTGTGGAAATTTTCATACTATGGTGTTAATATTTGAAATCAGTCCGCTACAATACTGAGTGAACATCATCTGTATTACCAGTGGTGGAGGGAGGTAAATAAGTAATCCCACATTTACTCAAGGAATGTACCTAAACACAAACTTGAGGTAGCTATATACTTTACGTTTTAGGCCTCCACATTTCACAGGGGGAAAAACTTTTTACTGTACTGCAATTATTTGACAGCTATGATTTTACTAGCACTTAAAATTTGCTCCATTTTTTAACATTAAAATGTTGTTTGCATGACAATAATATAAAACGTTGTTATAAAAAGTCTATAACACGAAGAGAAAAAGAGAGAAAACAGAAAATCTTCTGACTCCGGCTACTGTTTGATCATTTACACGTGATTTTTAAAGTAGTGTACTCAGTTACAAGTACAAGTAGGCTACATCCAACTTATATAACTTGAGTATTTCCATTTAATGCTACTTTATACTTCTACTTCACTACATTTATCTGACAGTAGTTGTTTCTGGTTACTTTACAGCTTAAGATTTTACATGAAAAATATCATAAGCTTTTTAAACTCATTGCACTGTTAAAGCTGAAATCAGTGCATTCCCTTTTGTTTCAGATATATATGAGTTGTTAACAGTAGAGAGATTTCCCTTCTAAACTTCTCAGATGGTTTTATTCAGAGAGGAAAAATGATTCAATATTTGCCAAAAAAAAGAGCAAACATAAAAGAAAAGTCACAAACAAAATCTGTTTGAAATACACATTTATCCATCAGAATTAACAATTTATTTAATAAGGTCATATAAAAATATATCATTCACAGGAGCCTTTTTTTGCAGAATCTATGCTTTCACATTTGCTGACAATACTTTGAATGCAACACTGGATTTATTTATTTTTACATTGTTGT